GTTGCCATGGCGAAAATCCACGAATTACGGTTTGAACTGCTTGACCATCCACCTTACTCACCAGATCTAGCCCCAAGCGACTTCTTTTTGTTCCCTCATCTAAAAATTGCGCTCGGAGGACAGAGATTTTCGTCAAATGAAGAGGCAATCACCTTCGTGAACAATTATTTTGCAGAGAAAAACGCCGAGTACTATTTCGACGGGTTACAGAGATGGGAGCATCGCTGGGAGAAGTGTGTAGATTTACAAGGAGACTATGTTGAAAAATAAAAAACAATTTTCAGAAAAAATGACTTGTATCTTTGTTAGGTCGGAAACTTTTCAGACCACCCTCGTATATCCATACATATGCATCTGCGGTCGTAAACCACGCGATATCGTAATGTTATCAACGGTGCGCTTTCGGAATCTTTATTAGTGCGCGTAAAAAAGGGTAAGAAAATTCAAAGGAGGACAGATCGCTCATCCTTTTAATTCGAGGGGTCAGCCGCTTCGTTAGACCATCGGACGTGCGCGGCGGCGTGGCTTTCACCCATTCCTCATAAAATCCAAAGCGCACATCTCCATAAGTATTCTCGTTTCGAGGCAATTTGCCGACGTGCTCGGATGCCGCGGTGCATACTTACTGACCTGGAAAATGATTCAGGCGATAACAAAAAGATGCTATGAATTTCCTTCGCGTGCATTTACACTGCGCACAATGCGTCCTTCAATTTCTTGACTGAACTATATGCTAAGAAAAAGTACTTGACAATTTATTTGTGAGTATATTAAATAATACTTTTGTGAAATATATAAAAAATTTTTGTATATATTTCTTTAAGTAAACTTGATATCTCCACAGATGAATTTACGAATATTTTTTCTCAGTGTAATTTACGAAAGTTAGACTATTTTCTACTAATTGTTTTTGCAAATTCAATTTTGCTTTACGTTGAATTTTTATTCATATGGCGGATAGAATATCGTTGAAATATCGTGAAAACGTAGGGAAAGGAAAGTCGTAGGGTTGATCGGGTGAATTTTATCAACGTCTAGTCAATGATTAGTTGAAGTTTGATTATCAAGAAACGGACTAAAGTGTTCTTGAAAGAAATATCTCAAAACACACTCTGGACGCGCGATCCTGTGTGCTTTAAAAGCGACGCTTTCTAGATATTACGCGCCGTAAACAAGTGAGAAGCAAAAAGTCAGTGTATATGATAGATCGCTTGTCGGATTCGAGGGATTCTTTCGCGGGGTCAGCTGATCCGACATAACTTCGCGTTGCTTTCACCTATTTCTCATAAAATCCCGAGACCCGCCTCATTCCGCGTGTTTTCGTATCGTCCCGATGTGAAATTATTGGCGGTTCGCGCGGCATTACGTAGCAGTTATCGGTTATTCTCCATTATCCACTCTTTGAACGGCGAATATTACACAATGTTACACGAAATAAATCGCAATTCAGGTTTGCCGCGATACGCTCACGTGTTAATCGCGAGACGACTCGTGCGCGCGCGAGATAGAAAGTAACAGTTAGAATATATCAAATTCACATTCGGGATTCATTTCCGCTTATAATAACAATCCGTCGGCGTAATTATTTCTGGAGAAGAGTGTGATTACTTAAAAAGTGGAACGATCACGCGGAGAGATGCGAAGGAGATGAATCTTCCGAGATAGCGAGTACACACACTACATATCCGGCGTAACTCGTTTCGCCGTGCATTTAAATTTACCTTAATTACCGGCTTCCCCTCGTTATAAAGTTGTACGGTATTTATCGTACGCCCCACATTTTCGCGAACTCGAGAATTTCATCAAACGGTCCGGCGTAATTCGCCGGCGTGGCTTTCACTCGTTCTTCGCAAAATCTTCTTGCGCACCTCGTCCGCTCGAGCTCCTTCGGACGATGTAGCTTCGAGCACGTATCGAAAACGACTTAATTGGCGAATTTACTCTACATGTGAAAAAAAATTTCGTGTAACTGAATGGGGACCAAAAACTCGCTCTCTGACGAGAAATAATGTAACCGAGAATGCTCGTCTGAACGTGTAGTTGCGTGAAAACTCGGTTGTGATAACTGAGAGCAAGTGGCTGAGTGGAAACCTCTTACGAGGGAATATCTGTCCCTACAACTGAATTTTTCGTCCGATCCAATAAAACATTGAGCTACACTTACGCAGTTGTTTTCTCCGTATACAAACGTATCGAAAAATATCAATTTACAGAGCGACAAATTTTAATTTTTTCTTTTAAATACAGTTATATGAGTGTACATAAAATGCACAATGCGGCAGAACAGTCGTTCGTGGACATTCGCGGATATCGAAATTTAAGCGCGGATATCGAGATTACGTCGATCTTCGAGAGTTTCGATCCGCGGTTTCGAAAGAAATCAGCCGGCCAATCCCCGGCGTCCGTCATCGTCGAGGAGGAAAGGCGAATCTTGACTAGAGAGATAATGGATTCGTACGGGTGACGTGTCGTTGCCACTGAAAGGCGGTGGCAACGGCGACTCTCGTTAAAACGTTTCTGGAGCACGCGATTCCCGGTGGCGATTGTTGCCCAACGTGCTATCGTGAACCGTGACTTTAGGACCCTTCTCCTCCTCTCTCTTTCTCTCTTCCTCTTTCTCTGCCTCGCCTTTCTTTTCCTCTCCTATCTCTCCACGGCTCGTTCCCCGGCTCTTACTCTCGAGGAGCGAGGAGCGATGTAGTTCGGTCAGTAGTAAAACCGATCGAGTCTATTTATCTTCATTTTTGCACGACGTTAGAATAGAGCGCTACTCAACGGAGAAACGCTTTGC